CCGCAGCCCCCGTACTCACGGTCGCAGCGGGGCCGGCTCGGCGCTCCCCGCGGCCGCAGCGCCCGGAGCCGCCGGGGCTGGCGGGACCTCGGGCCGGTCCCGTCCCGCCGGGGCGGAGCGACCGCGGCGGCAGCGCCCCCGCGCGGACAGCGGAGGAACTGCCCGAGGGGAACGAGCGGGAGGGGAGGGAAGGGGTGGGGAAGGGATTTGGGAAAGGATGGGGATTTGGGAATGGTCGGGATTTGGGAAAGGATGTGGGAATGGTCGGGATTTGGGGAAAGGTCAGGATGTGGGGAAGGGTAGGGATTTAAGAAGTTCGGGATTTGGGAAGGGTCGGGGCTGGAGACGGTTGGGATTTAGGAAGGGTCAGGATTTGGGAAGGGAACGGACTGGGGAGGGTCGGGATTTGGGAAGAGTGGTGACTGGGGAAGGGTGGGGATTTAGGAAGGGTCAGGACTGGGGGAAAGGGTCAGGATGTGGGAAGGGTCGGTATTGGGAAAGATCAGGATTTAGGAAGGGTCGGGATCTGGAGAAGGGTCGAGATGTGGGGAGAGAGTTCTGCTCCCCTCTGCCTCAGTCTCTGAGACCCCACCTGGGGCGCTGCATGCAGCGCTGAGGCACAGAGTATTTTTCACAAATGTATGTCAGAATATCTTTCAGCACAGAAAGATGTGGAGCTGCTGGAGTGAGGCTGCAAAGATACTCCGAGGGCTGGAGCACCTCTCCTATGGAACCAGACTGGGAGAGCTGGGGATGATCAGGATGGAGAAGACTCCAGGGAGACCTTAGAGCCTCTTTCAGTGACTAAAGGGGCTCCTAGAAAGAGAGAGAAGGACTTCGGGCACGGAGTGAATGGATTTGGGCAAGGGGAAATGGATTCCCACTGACAATGGGCAGGTTTAGATGGAATATTGGGAATAAATTCTTGCCTGTGAGGGTGGTGAAGCCCTGGAACAGGTTGCCCAGAGAAGCTGTGGTTGCTCTATCCCTGGAAGCGTTTAAGGCTGGGTTGGATGTGTCTTTGATCAGCTTGGTCTAGGGGAAGGTGTCCTTGCCCATGGCAGGGGTTGGAACAAAATTAGCTTCAAGGTTTCTTCCAACCCAAGACTTTCTAGGATTCTATGAAAATGCCAGGAGCGAGCCAGGTAGGGCTCTGCATGCAGAAACACCTCAGCTGCACAGGCTGGCTTTGGCCAAACAGGTTTTATCAAACCAGCTCCAGAGCTGACCTGGAGACTGCTGAGGCTGCACACAGGCTGGTGCCTGGAAGGATTAAGGGATGGATCATTATTGCACTGGGCAGTTGCTCAGGTTGAGATGGTCACTGATGCTCTGCTTCCCTTGGTGAAAACATCTCCTTTCAGTAAAGAGCTGCTCCCTGTCCAGGGTGCTCTGGGTGGGAAAGCAATTCTGCCACCCAGACACCCTCTGGGAATGACAGCACCAAAGCAAAGTCAGGAGGCCTCCCAGTCCAGCCCAATTGCCAGCAGCAAAGAAATGACAGGCGAGGTGGAAGTTGTGGGTCAGGTTTCAGGGTGAGTTCAGCTGCCCCTGGAAGCAGGGATCCCTCCCTGGATTTCTGGCAAAGCTGCTGAGCATGGCAGCCTGGGGGAATTCAGCCCTGTGTAATTATGGCACAGAGGGCAGACAATGGATGTGCAGAGGCCAGGGCAGGCAGCTCCAGCACGGGGGCAAATTCTCGCCCTCCAAGAGGAGCCAGTGCCCACGGGAGAGGCTGGTGGGAGCTGCTGGGTGATGTGGGTTTTCCCTGTGGGGTCAGCAGTGAGCTGTGCTTACCCTCTGCCCAGTCTACCAGATTTTCTCCTCCTCCGTGGCTCTGGCATCCTTCATCCCCCGGCAGTGCCAGCCCTGGGGCTCCACACCTCGACTTCTGACTCAGCCAGGAGGAGGGGAAATGGCAGGGCTGGAGCAGGCGTGGAGGGCCCTGCTGAAGCTGCTGTGCTGAGATGCTGATGAGTCTTTCAGCCAGCACCCCTGGGCACAGGGACACTGTCAGCACACTCACTGATTGATTTATTTGTTTGTTTGTTTGTTTGTTTGTTCAGCAGCAGGCAATGCCATCCCTGCACCAAGGTGAGTCAGTGCTCAGTATCCCAGCACCCTGCTGTTGGCTGAGTGGCTTCTCTCCTCACCAGGGAGCAAAGCCGTGTGGGATGAGTCAGACAGAAAATGAGTTTATTTCCAGGTGCTGCAGGGGAACTAATTTTGATTTAACAAGCAGGCAAGAGTGAGGTATCTTGAGTTTTTATTTCGATCCTACTCCACAGGAAACAATATCCACTAGCGTTATCTTCCTTACATTTGTTTGTATTTGACCCAATACTGTGTTAAATATAAAATACTGATTGAACAAGGATGGATGATGAAAAACATGAGATGCTAAAAAGATCCCTCGAGCCCTCCTCCACAAACATCCTGAATGTTACGAGTCATTTGAAATTAGTATAAAACAGGAGGACAATCCAATAACTTGCTCTGTGTCCTCCATGCTGTGCAAGGGGAGGATTTAGGAGCAAGAGAAGAGGGGGAGCCTCTCAATTACAGAGAAGCCCACTCTGCAAATCCGGGCTGAAGGCAGGGTAGTGATGTTCCCAACAGAGCCCAGCCATCCATTCCTGCCTGGGCATCTGTCCTGCCCTGGATGTTCAGCAGGAGACTGAGATGAAGCAGCCTCAGAAATGTCCTTCTGGCACCTCCCTGGGCCTCAGGAGCCCTGGGGACAGATTTAGGGCCAAAAGACCACAATGGCAAAATAGTTTCTGAGATAAATCCCTTGGGATGAAGGAAAACATGGGCATGGTCGCTGGGCATCCTCAGTCCCTGCCAGGGGACATTTGCCTGTGGCTGGGACTGCTGTTTGCATGGTCTGAGCCCAGGGTGCTTCCCCGTGGGATTTGGTGACAGAGGAGGAGGATGGCCAGCCACACTAAGCTGAAGTTGTCACTGTGCCCCGTGGTGGCTCTGGGAACCTGCTCCCCCAGACCCAGTGAAAATTGAAGCAGGTGTTTGTGAAGCTCTGGCTGCCCTCCAAGTGCTTCAGGGGGTCCTCACACGAGCCCTGTGAGGTAGGTCAGGGTCTTTGCTTCCCAGATGGGGAAACTGAGGCACAGAGAAGGGTAATGACTTGCCAGACAGAAAATATGGCATCTCCCATTCTGGGACCTCTGTATCCTGCTATTCCAACCCTGGATATGCTCCATGAACTGCTGGTTACTCACAGCTCATCCTTCTCCACCTCTCCACCTGCAGCAGGTGACAGGGCCAGGGCTGGGCAGAGGCAGCAGCAGAGTCTGGGCTCCTTCACCCCCGTCCCTAAGACCACCCCTCACCCCAAGGGCAGTCCCAGCCCAAAGGCTGCTTTGGGGTGTCCTGGGCACAGACCCCCAGCAGCCCCACACCAGGCTGGGGTGCCAGGTACAGCTCACAGAGCCCTTTACAGGAACCTTCTGCCTATGGAAGTGAAAACTCACCAGATATTTTTGCCAGCCTGGCAACCACAGCCACCACAACAGGAGGGGGTGAGTATCCAGATGCTTCCTCTTTGGTAATTTGCTGCAAAATGGCACAGCCCTGTAGAGCAAATCCCGGGGTGCCACAGGCTGGGGGGCCCTAAGCTCTGCTCAGCTCCCTGGAATGCTGCTGGAGAAACAGGAGATGTGAGATGGTGGCCATAAATCTCCCTCACTTGCCACATCGTGTCAGAGGCTGCAGCTGTGACTAACCAAAGGCCAAAAAGAGGTGACGGGCAATTGATTCTTTTGGGGGCTGATGGGGAAGGTGCAGGCACAGCCCAGCACACACCACACCCTCCTGGCTCCAGCAGCTCTGCCCAGGGTGTTTGGGGAGCAGGATCAGGTGTGGTTTTCCCATTCTGCTGCTCCCAGCAGCTGGATGGATGTTCCATGTCTCATTAGCCTGAGTTAGCACTGTGTGCCTGTGATTAGGAATTTAAAAACTGAACATCACTAGCATCTCTCAGTCACAGCTCACATCCAGGCTTTGTGTGGATGCATTCCTGCCCTGCAGCAATCCTGGGAATGCTAGAAATCTTTCTAAAAGTGGAATTAATCTGAGGAGAAATAGGTTCATCACCAAAATGGGAGCAGAGAAGGCAGGTAGCCCCGTGAGCCCAGCCCAGGGAGGTTCACTTCCCTCCCTCCAGGAGAAAGGGAACCCCCTGAAGTGGATGGGCTGACCCCAGTCAGGGAGATGCCAGGAGCTGGATCCCAGCTCTGCTCCCTGCTGAAGGCACATGTGCAGCAGGGCCTGGGAGCAGGGCTGTGCTTCAGGCTGCCACTGACACCGAGGCTGGAGAGGAAAACCAAACACTCCAGGGAGAAATTGTCCATAGGTGATCTCATGGATGTACTGAGTTGTGCACTTAATATTGGCTTAGAGAAAGGGTTTCCCAGTGCTCAGGGGCTGGGATGCCCTGGCAGAGATTCAAGTTTCAATCTCTTGTAAGGCTTGTTGAGTTTGGACCATCCCCTCAAGGATTTGGGATGGGGCTGTTAATGCTGACAGGACTGAGGATGATTTAGGAGCCAGTCCAGGTGGTGCAGGGGTGTCACCACCGGGTCTCTCCCCTCATCCTGACTCCTCCAGTCCCCTAAGGACTCCAGCAGCCAAACCCAGGGTGTCATAGCCAGGGGCATGTGGGGCCAAGGTTCCCAGTCCTGTGGGATGTTCAAGACCAGGTGAGTGAACAAAGCTCCCAGCGAGTGGTCACTCCCCTATCACCCACAACCCAGTCAGTCACTAAGTTCTGAAACTTTTGCCTAAAAAAATAAACAGTTCCCGAGGTTAAAAAAGAAAAATATTTAAAATCAACCTCCGGGCTCTCCTGTCATTGCGGGAAGGGCACCAGCAGCTGCTGTCCACGGGGCGAGGGGTGGTTTGGGGCGAGCCCACGGGGCTGGCTGTGTCCCCGCCGCCCTCTGTGTCCCCACCAGGTGGCACAAACAATGTCTTTAAGGCTTCTAGCGGGAGGTGCTGGTGTCCAGCGCTCCGGGCCGGTACAGGTACCTCCAGATGGCGTAGTAGTGGATGCCAGCTCCGATGGCCACGAAGAGGTGCCAGATGGCGTGGGCGAAGGGAATGCGGCCGTCGCTTTTGAAGAACACCATGCCCAGGCAGTAGAAGAACCCACCGAACACCAGCTCCAGGAGACCATCCCTGTTGGGCTGGAGCAGAGTATGTGAGGCCAAGGGGTGTCTGTCCTCTCCCCACCACCCCAGTCAGACCAGGAGTGTTGTCCAGCTGCAGCTCTGGACTTCTCTGTCTTCTGCTACCCCCTCCTCTCCAGCAGGACAGCAGGGACCCAGCAGCCCCAGGAGAAATGGAACTAGATGATCTTTAAGGTCCCTTCCAAACCAGACCATTCCATGATTCTGTCATCCTACAATTTCCAAACAACAGAGCCCAGGAAGGAGATCTGGGAGAGATGCACGTGGTGCCTGCTGGGCACTCAAAGCACCTGCAAAACCAAGGTGAGCCACATCCATGAGGGATGTCTATCCCTCACACAGCCTGGAGACTGTGCCAACCCACTGGAAACAAACTGTTCTGGGTTTTCAAATCCCTCCTGGGGTTTGTCCCTCATGCTGAGCCCAAGCACTTCCCAGCAGGGGCTTACCATGGAGAGGATGACCAAGGCAGGGAAGAAGCCCATGATAACGTAGCACACCAGCTCCACCAGCTTGTACCTGCAGCAGACAGAGAGGCAGCTTGGAGCAGGGACAGAGGGAGGTTGAGTTTTACACTCATAATTCCCACAGCAGAGCTCTAGGGAAAAGGGGTGGCAGTGCCACCACAGCGGGTCCCATGTCCTCATGTGCGGGCGGGCTCGGGACCTGGCACTGGGGACTTTGGGGCCTTTGGCTTTTTATTTGGTGCCACCACGTGGAGGAAGCAACTCATGGCAGCAGGTCCCTGCTCGTGTCCCGGGTCCCACACACCCACAGGCTCGGGGCTGGGCGCAGGCACTCACCGCTCATGGAAGAAGAAAACGTAGACGGTCCCGATGGATGCCATGATCCAGATGATCCAGCGCATGTGGGACGCCCAGGGACCCAACTCCCTCAGGTTCAGCCTGCAAGACCCGGGGCTGTGGTGAGGCAGGTCTAGGGCAGCACCCCCTCACCCCCATGGCTGTCCCACCACAGGGTCCTCCCAGCCTGGAACTTCAACATCCAAAGAGTGAAATCTATAGGATGGGAAGGTTTTGTGGAAAGGGGTAAGGGTGCCCTCTAAAAGAACCGAAGCTAGAGAGGGAAACTCTATTTATTGGAACCAGGATGATTTTTTGCCCTTCAGTGGGGCCAGATGAAGGCTCCCAGCCACCAGCAACTCACCAGGGAGCGTAGGATGCAGCGATGAAGAAATAGATCACCATCCTGTCAAACATGTGCAGGCAGTGCTCCACAGTCCTGCAGGACAGACAGATGGGTCCAGATGGGGACATCGGGACCCTCTCCCCCTTCCCAAGCCCTGAGCAATCAGGATGATACCTGAGATGCCTCTTCTTCCAGGAGATGGTGTGGAAGATGGTGGAGACAATGAAGAGGCTGGACAAGCCAAAGCCATAGATCCAGGCTGAGATGGTTTCCCACTGGTCATCAGAGAGGATGCAGAGGATGGAGCTGCCAAGGATGCTGGGCAGGATCCAGAACTGGAAGGGGAAGCAAACCCGCTGTTGACTCTCTGCATTTCCACTGAGCAGCTACAATAGAGCCTCCACTTTTCCTTCTAGGTGTTTCTTCAGCTTCTGGTCAAAGCTACCACCTGTAAGGGGCAGGAAGGGTCCCTCCCTGCGTGGTGCAGCTCCAAAATAGTTTGTCCAGAAGGTAGGGAGGAGGAGGAGAAAGGCACATGAAGGATGG